TTTGAGTGACTGAAATATTATTTATTTATTGTTTCTCTTGTTTTGGAGGAATTATATCAAATCCTTGCATTCGATACAACGCCTTATCACGTAGTTGAGACATCTCAAAGCACTTCACAGAATATACTGTAAAGTGTAGTGACAGTATACTTTGTGGGCGAAACCCGGCAGCCAATTGCACTCAGCGACGTCCCCACAAATAGTCGTGGATTGAGTGACCACATTTTTTTGGGAAAGTATTATTACCCCCGGAAAGTGATCCCCCAATCGACTAACAACCGGGTTCCTACTGACTGCTGGGAAACAGGTGTGTGTGCCATCTGTGGTTATGCGTGTGCTATCTGTGTGTCTGTGTGTGTGTATCTCTGTGTGTGTATGTGTGCGCTGTGTCTGTGTGTGTGCTGTGTGTTTGTGCGTGTCTGTGTGTGTGCTATCTGTGTGTGCTGCGTGTTTGTGCGTGTCGGTGTGTGCTATCTGTGTGTCTGTATCTCTGTGTGTGTATGTGTGCGCTATCTGTGTGTATGTGCGTGTCTGTGTGTGTGCTATCTGTGTGTGTGCTAACTGTGTGTTTGTGCGTGTCTGTGGGGGAGTAAGGAAAATTACCTGAGGTTTCGTCCTGTCCTGTCCCGCCCGGGAATCGAACGTGGGTCCTTCGGCTTGCGAGGCGTCTAACCCCTGGGGTACAGGGGCTGTGGGGTGCGAGGCGAGGGGTCTAACCCCTGGGGTACAGGGGCTGTGGGGTGCGAGGGGAGGGGTCTAACCCCTGAGCTACAGGGGCTGTGGGGTGCGAGGGGAGGGGTCTAACCCCTGGGGTACAGGGGCTGTGGGGTGCGAGGGGAGGGGTCTAACCCCTGAGCTACAGGGGCTGTGGCTTGTGAGGCGAGGGGTCTAACCCCTGAGCTACAGGGGCTGTGGGGTGTGAGGGGAGCGGTCTAACCCCTGAGCTACAGGGGCTGTGGGGTGCGAGGGGAGGGGTCTAACCCATGAGCTACAGGGGCTGTGGGGTGGGGGGCGAAGGGTCTAAGCCGTGAGCTACAGGGGCTGTGGGGTGGGGGCGAGGGGTCTAACCCCTGAGCTACAGGGGCTGTGGGGTGGGGGCGAAGGGTCTAAGCCCTGAGCTACAGGGGCTGTGGGGTGGGGGGCGAGGGGTCTAACCCCTGAGCTACAGGGGCTGTGGGGTGGGGGGCGAAGGGTCTAACCCCTGAGGTACAGGGGCTGTGGGGTGCGAGGCGAGGGGTCTAACCCCTGAGCTACTGGTTACATGCCGTGCAGTGTGTGTGCTCCAGTTGATCTCACTGTTTAGCTGCAGCCTTTCCACCTAATGTGGACAGTACGCATTAACTGCTGTTATTTCTCTGATCTCTCGTACGCACAGAGCTGCGTGAGAGGTACTCTCTGGTGTGTACAAACAGGGGCCCAATAGTGAGCTTTGTCTTCAGAGGAGACACTGTGGAGTTCTGCAGTGGACTGGTTTAGTGATGGGGGCTGACAGGCTGATGGTCGGCCGGGTGGGGGAATGTGTAGAAGGCCACAGCCCACTGAGCGGAGGGAGCGGACAGGTCTATATGGGGTTAGCAGGTCACTGAGGTAGGGAGGGGCAAGGCCTTGGAGGGCTTTGAAGGTGAGGACGAGGATTTTGAGCTCGATTCTCTGAGGGATGGAGAGCCAGTGGAGCCTGGTGAGGGCTGGGGTGATGGGGGTACGGAGTTTAGCGCAGGTGAGTATGCGGGCGGCGTAATTTGGGATTAGCTAGATTTTGGCAGATAACATAGAGACAAGAGAGCGGGGAGTGGGGGGGTGGTTAAGGGACGTTTGTCAGGTTGGAGTATAATCTGTAGCACATCATTAACAGCTCAATCCACACCCCCACAGCCGGGCCTTTGTGGGGCAGTGATTAACACACACATTTCTGCTAATTATGTCACTGACCTTTCCAGAGGTGCTAACCTTGGTCTCAAACCTGCTTTGCTCCTTGCATGACCGATGTCCTGACCTCTTGATAAGACGCCAGCGAATTCAGGAGGCATTAAAGGCGTGAAGGAGAGGGATGGGTATTCGGAGGAATGGGCGACACACAAAAAGATTGGTCACAAAAGACTGTTGGTCCTTCATAACACCCCTGCCACCCCCCGCCCCCTCCCCCCACGCACAGAAGACTCCTCCGTGACATACCATTGTTCCTCTGTCCTTTCATCTTCTCTCTTGCGATGTCACACAGTCTCTGTGAGAATCCAACAATAATAAGCCTTGACATTGACACTTTTCATGTTGGGAAAACATCCCAAAGCGCTGGACAGGACAGTCAGGGGTTTGGCCCTGAGCTGGGGCTTGGGATCAGGAGGGGATGGAGCGTGGGGGTGGGAGGGTGACCAAAGGCACAGTTGGTCAAGGAGGAGGATTTTGAGATGGGCCTTGAAAGAGGCGAGGGAGGGGGTGATGTGGAGGGACTGTGGGATGGAGTTCCAGAGGGTGGGGGGGCAGAGATGCTGAAGGCCCAACCATCGATGGTGGGATGGGGCCGGACTGCGGAAACGCTGCAGCCAATTGCGCATAGCAGTGTCCCCACAAACAGCTGTGGATTGAGTGACCAAATCATTATTATTATTTTTTTCAAGAGATTATTACCCCAGGAAAGTGATCCCCCAATTGACGAACAACCGGGTTCCTACTGACTGCTGGTAAACAGGTGTGTGTGTGTGTGTGTGTGTGTGCGCGGAGTGAGGAAACTTGCCCAACGTTTCGCCCTGTCTCATCCAGGGCGGGAATTGAACCTGGGTCCTCTCTCTCGCTTGTGAGGCGAGGGCTCTAATGCCCTGCGGGACTCCGAATAATGGTGCGTGGGAGTGGAGAGGGTGGAGGAGGTTGTCTTCCGGGTGGCTCCCAGCAGGTCAGCATTCCGTTCATGATCTCCGCTCATTAACCAGGAGAGGCTGAAAAACTGGGCTTGAGTGACTGGAGTCCAGATGCACTTGAGAGAGTGTCCGTCCGGCCTTTCATCAGCACACACGCTCCGTCATTAAAGACTCCCGTCAGGGTATCAGAGCATCGCTTCTCGGGTGAGGGGGGGGTGCAGGGACCATCACAAGGAGGGAGGTCACGCTGAGGGTCCCCTTTATAAAGAGATCACAAGCTGCGACTCTACACTCTTTGTGGTTAATGAGGTGCTGTTTTCCTGGCCTCCGTTCGCCTGTACTGTTGTGTCGGGTTTGCTGTGGAGCGAGGGAGGGAGAGAGGGAGGGAAGGAAGGAGGGAGGGGGAGGAAGATAGAGGGATGGCAGTGACACATCACACAGTCTGTTGTTCATGATCAATGGCGAAGACGGAACAGAAGGAGGGGTCGGAGAGGATGAGAGACACAGAGTCAAATTTTGGGTGAGAGGGAATGCAATTGATGGAACGTTGCAGCCCAGAATCACATCGCTTTACTCCCTGCGTTATTACTGTTGCTAAGCTGTCCTAATAATAATAAAAATCCTGGCATTTGACCCGGCACCTTATCATGTCGTTGAAACGATTCAAAGCGCTTCACAGGATACATTGTAAAGTGCAGTGACTGTGTGTTTTGTGGGAAAAATGCAGCAGCCAATTGCACCAGCGACGTCCCCACAAACAGCCGTGGAGTCAGCGACCAATTTTATTTTAGAGGATTGTGGGCCAGGGACACCGAGAGAGAGCGAGAGAGAGAGACTCCGGTCTCCTTTTGAATAGTGTCACTGGAAATCTTTAACGTCCGCCCAGAAAAGGGCACAGATGGGGTGAGTGAGGTTTAACATCTCATCTGAAGGACGGCGTCTCCGACAATGCAACACCCATCCCCATCGCTGGGCTGAGCATCAGCTTAGACTGTGATTCCCAGTCCCGACACGTGGAGTCCTGTAGCTCAGTGGTTAGAGCACTCGCTTTGCAAGTGAGAGACCTGAGTTCAATTCCAGGCAGAGGGCGAAACCTCGGGCAAGTTTCCTTACTCCACACAGAGCCTAATAATAATCCTCCAAAACCACAGACAATAATAAATTGGTCATTTTCAATCTACGACTGTTTGTGGGACATTGCTGTGCGCAATTGGCTGCCGCGTTCGCCCACAAGTATACAGTCAATTCACTTTACAGTCTATTCTGTGAAGCGCTTTGGGACGTCCTCCCGACGTGAAGAGCGCTATATCAAATGCAAGGATTATTATTATTATTAGGTGGAGACTTGAACCCACAACCTTCTGACTCAGGCGAGAGAGAGAGAGCGACTGAGCCTGGCTGGTGCTCTGGATAAGAAACAGGTCACACACACAGAGAGAGAGAGAGAGAGCCCAAGGCACAATTTGCCTGAGATTCCTTGGTTTACGACAAAACGTATGACGAAGGGTGCAAAATCCATCAGAATTTAATCCCAACACCAAAGAGGACAGGAGAGAAACAGCTGCCAAATAGAGGACTTTCCGAAAGTCTACTCCATCATCAATACTATTCCTAAAACGATGAGGGTTTGTTTCGGAGGAGATTAAACCTTGAATGAATGAGTGAGTGAGTGAGTGAGTGAGTGAGTGAGTGAGTGAGTGAGTGAGTGAGTGGTCGGGGTAAGAGCGGGGGGATTGGGGGCTAGTTGGGTAAGAGCAGGGGGAGTGGCGACTATTGGCGTAAGAGCGGGGGCTAGTTGGGATAAGAGCAGGGGGAGTGGCGACTATTGGGGTAAGAGCGGGGGGAGTGGTGGCTAGTTGGGGTAAGAGTGGGGGGAGTGGGGACCAGTTGGGGTAAGAGCAGTGGGAGTGGGGACTAGTTGGGGTAAGGCTTCATCCTGACCTATCTGGGAATCGAGGCGAGAGATCTAACCCTTGAGCTACAACACCTGACATTCACACGGAACCTTTCACGTCAGGAGACATCGCGAGGTGCTGGACAGTCAGGGATCTGTACCCGAGCTGGGGGTTGGGACCAGGAGGGGTGGAGGGTGGGGGAGTGCAGGGTGACCGAAGGCACGGTTGAAGAGGAGGTTCTTGCGCTAGCCGGGGGGAGGGGAGGGGAGGGCGGGGAGAGGGAGGTGGGAGTTGACCACTACACGTTTAGTGAGTCTGAGTATCTGTTCACATCCACACTGCTGACAGTCAGTCCATCCAGTGGCAGGTCCAGTTGGCCGGCGTTGTTGTCTCTCAGGCCTTTATTTATCGTCACCTCCCGGTTTGGGAGGATTATACTTGGCCATAAACGCAGCGTGTTTCTGTCGCAGGATTTCCTGCTGTTTCTTCAAGCCGTTAGCCCTGTACGGGAGCAGACACACCGCGTGTGGGAGCTTGCGTTAAACGTCTTCAAATCCCTTTATGCCCCGGCACCTCCCGACCTCTCTGACCTGCTCACTCCCCAACCCACTACCAGCTGAGCTGCCTCCGCTCCACTGGCTCCGGCTTCCTGCTTGTCCCTCATGCCCCCGCTCCGCCATCGGTGGCTGATCTTTCAGCCACTATGCCCCGAAACTCTCTCTCTCTACTGGCAGTCAGACCTTCAGCCTCTCTGCTCCCCACCCTCTGGAACTCCATCCCAGTCCCTCCGCCTCACCCCCTCCCTCACCTCCTTCAAGACCCATCTCAAGACCCTCCTCTTCGACCAACTGCCCCTTCGGTTACTCTCCTGACCCCATCCTTCCCGCCCTCCACCCCCTCCTGATCCCAACCCCCAGCTCGGGTCCAAACCGCCTGGGGATGTCCTCATGACGTGAGAGACGCCGTGTAAATGTCATGTGTTGTTATTTGTGGAGTCCTGTAGCTCAGTGGTTAGAGCCCTCGCCTCGCAAGCGACAGGGTTTGATTCCCGGGCGGGTCCGGGCGAAACTTTAGGCAAGTTTCCTTACTACGTACACACACCTCTGTTTACCAGCAGTAAGTAGGAACCCGGCCATTAGTCGATTCACGGATCGCTTTTCTGGGGTAATAATCCCTCCAAAAAATAAATAATGCGGTTGCACAATCCACAGCTGTTTGTGGGACGCTGCTGTGCGCAATTGGCTGCCGCCAATACACTTTGAGACGTCTCAATGACGTGATAAGACTTTGTTTCAAATGCAAGGATTATTATTATTATGTCTCTAACCCCGACCTTGAGTTGAATATTCCATCCCAGTCTGTCGTAGTCAGGGAACGTCCCAACTCAATGCCGCATGAATAATAATAATAATAATCTTTGCATTTCATACAGCGCCTCATCACGTCTTCAAGACGTCTCAAAGCGCTTCACAGGATACACTGTAAAGTGAACTGAGTGTGTTTTGTGGGCGAAATGCAGCAGCCAATTGCACCCAGTGACATACTCACAAACAGCCGTGGTTTCAGTGACCAAATTGTCTGTCTGTCTGTCTTGGTTTCCGACAGGAAGGACAGTGGTCTCTCGCTCACTGTGGGACCGGTGTTTTTACCCGGTCCCTATTACACTGACTGCATCCTGTCACTGGCAGCTAATCCCTGATCTTGTTAACATGTGGATTTGATTCCTTTCCAGTGACACTGACGTTTTCCCACGCTGTCTTTCCCAGTCGTCATCTCTCCCCAGCGTCAGGAACGTGAGACTCCGGGTTTATGCCTTGGTAATTCTGGAACATTCTCTCTCTATCCCTACGTCTTCCCCCCCCTTCCCATTTGACCAGTGCCTATGGTCACCTCTCCTCTCCCTCTCTCCCGGCTTAGAGTTGTTCTCCGCCACTGTCAAGTTCTGGGACGCTGCCCTGTGTGAGGGGGCGCTGTGTAAGTGCAAGTTGTTGTTGTTGTCCCTGAGTTACTGATCTAATCTGTGGGGGGTGGGGGGAGCAGGTGGGTGAGCAATTGACCTCAGCACCTCACCTGGGTTATACTTAGCCTCACAATTAATACAGAGCCTTTCACGTCGGGAGGATGTCCCCAGGCGCTGGACAGTCAGGGATTTGGCCCCGAGCTGGGGGTTGGGATCAGGAGGGGGTGGAGGGTGGGGGGTAGGAGGGTGACTGAAGGTGCAGTTGGTCGAAGAGGAGGGTCTTGAGATGGGCCTTGAAGGAGGGGAGGGGGCGAGCGAGGCGGAGGGACTGTGGGATGCAGTTCCAGAAGGTGGGAGCAGAGAAGCTGGAGGCCTGGGGTGGGCCGGGCGGGGGACATGGAGCCGCCCGGTGCCTGCTGAGCAGGGGAAGGGGGAGACAGAAAAAAATAGTGATGTTAGGGCAAGAATCTCGCTCCTGCTCCCCTCTCTTGACCACAACAAGCTTCCCCAGGGATTAACCTCCGGAATCTGCAGGGAATCAAGGAAGTCATTAATAAACAGCCTCGCGAGCAGTGACCCCAAAAAACACATCACAGGGCAGGCTGGTGCGGGGGACTGGGGCTGGCTTCTTGTGTGGAGGTTTCCAGTGTGAAGCAAACTTAGGTTCAATTAATTTGTGAAGGTTTGGCATCAAAAAAACAGAGAGAAATCAGATCAAAAACATTCACAGATTCAGAGCATTTCTAATAATAATAATAATAATAATCCTGGCATTTGACGCATTGCCTCATCACGTCTTCGAGATGTCTCAAAGTGCTTCACGGGACACACTGTAAATTGAATTGACTGTATATTTTGGGGGTGAAACGTGGCGGCCAATTGCGCACAGCGATGTCCCCCCAAACAGTCGTGGATTGAGTGACCAAATTATTATTATTATTAAAACTATTTGGAGGGATTATTACCCTCATAAAGCGATCCGCCAATCGACTAACAACCAGGTTCCTACTTACTGCTGGTAAACAGAGGAGTATGTGTCTGTGTCTGTGTCTATTCTGCGAAGCGCTTGGAGACGTTGAGAAGACGTGAAAAGCGCTATATCAAATGCAAGGATTATTATTATTATATTACCGGGTTCCTACTTACTGCTGGGTAACTAATATACAACTGGAGATTGAGAGAAAGAGAAAATAAGGGAGAGAACGAGGTTGAGAGAGAGAGTGTGAGCCTGAGAGTAAGTGAGAGAGTGAGAGCGTGAGAGAGAGAAAACAAGAGAGAGAGCGGGAGCGTGGAAACAGCAAAAGGGACCAAGTAAACAATGTTGGGAGGACAGAGGGCGAAACTCTGCTTCTTTTCTTAATGACAGTCAAGTGTCCTGCACTAACTCACAAATACTCCGCCCACCCACCCCCCTCAGCCCCAATAAAGCTACCAGATAAACAGGGCTGCTGGTGAGCACAGCCAGAGGTGATCCCCAACTAACAGATGATCTCCCATGACTGTACTCCTCTTTCTCTGACCCTTTTAGGGATGTTCTTTAGCATAGATTGGGTGGTGGGGGGGGAGTGGGAGCATCATAGCCCTAACGATTCTCTCCCCCCATCCTAACACACACATATATGTGCACCCTGTATAAATTGCACATATATGTGATAAGAGGTGATAAGGTGCTATATCAAATGCCAGGTTTATTATTATTATCAAGTTTCTCTACAAAACGCACTTAAACATATATCCTGTTAAGCGCTTTGGGATATAATAATAATAATAATCCTGGCATTTGATACAGAGCCTTATCACGTTGTTGAGACGTCTCAAAGCGCTTCACAAGATAAACTGTAAAATGATTTGATTGTGTATTTTTGTGGGCAAAATGCAGCAGCCAATTGCGCACATGATGTCCCACAAACAGTTGTGGGTTGAGTGACATTTTTTTGAGGGATTATTACCCCTGGAAAAGTGATCCGCCAATCGACTAACAACCAGGTTCCTACTTACTGCTGGTAAACAGAGTCATATGTGTGTGTGTGTCTGTCTATGTGTGTCTGTGTGTCTGTATGTGTGTGTGTGGAGTGGAAACTTGCCTAAGGTTTGGCCCTGACCTGACCCGCCCGAGAATCGAACCCGGGTCCTGTGGCTTGTGAGGCGAGGGGTCTAACCCCTGAGCTACAGGGGCTGTGGGGTGGGGGGTGAGGGTCTAACCCCTGAGCTACAGGGGCTGTGGGGTGTGAGGGGTCTAACCCCTGAGCTACAGGGGCTGTGGGGTGTGAGGGGTCTAACCCCTGAGCTACAGGGGCTGTGGGGTTCGAGGGGTCTAACCCCTGAGCTACAGGGGCTGTGGGGTGTGGGGAGGGGTCTAACCCCTGAGCTACAGGGGCTGTGGGGTGTGGGGAGGGGTCTAACCCCTGAGCTACAGGGGCTGTGGGGTGAGGGGAGGGGTCTAACCCCTGAGCTACAGGGGCTGTGGGGTGTGAGGCGAGGGGTCTAACCCCTGAGCTACAGGGGCTGTGGGGTGGGGGGAGGGGTCTAACCCCTGAGCTACAGGGGCTGTGGGGTGGAGGCGAGGGGTCTAACCCCTGATCTACAGGGGCTGTGGGTGTGAGGGGAGCGGTCTAACCCCTGAGCTACAGGGGCTGTGGGGTGGGGGGCGAAGGGTCTAACCCCTGAGCTACAGGGGCTGTGGGGTGTGAGGGGTCTAACCCCTGAGCTACAGGGGCTGTGGGGTGGGGGGCGAGGGGTCTAACCCCTGAGCTACAGGGGCTGTGGGGTGCGAGGGGAGGGGTCTAACCCTGAGCTACAGGGGCTGTGGGGTGGGGGGCGAGGGGTCTAACCCCTGAGCTACAGGGGCTGTGGGGTGGGGGGCGAGGGGGCTAACCCCTGAGCTACAGGGGCTGTGGGGTGGGGGGTGAGGGGTCTAACCCCTGAGCTACAGGACTCCACATTGTATTGGGAGGTGCCATCCTGTGGATGTGATGTTAAACTGAGGTCTTGACTGACACACACACACACTCAGGCACAGACACAGGCGCACACACACACACATACACAGGCGCACACACACACATACACAGGCGCACACACACACACATACACAGGCGCACACACACACAGGCACACACACACACACACAGGCGCACACACACACACATACACAGGCGCACACACACACATACACAGGCGCACACACGCACACACAGGCACACACACACACATACACAGGCACACACACACACACATACACAGGCGCACACGCACACACATACACAGGCGCACACACACACACATACACACACACAGACACACATTCTCTCACACACACAGTGGTTTCGGTCTGAGTATTGCATGTCCCCAGAGTGTAGGCTGTACATACAATGACTGAGTTAACATATAGAGGGTCCCTATTCGCGCCGGTTACAATTACTGAGCCATAAACTTGCAGGAACCCAGTCGGTGCTGGTAACCCCACAGGTTGATATGAGGCTCTGGCAGCTGCGGTCTCAGCAACAACTGAACACAACAGCAGCACAGACACAATTTGTACACGTGTTCAAACAGCGACCAGCAACTTTACAGCTGTAATCGAATCCCAGGCCCTCGGACACAACCATCAATCCGTCCCCGTTCCCGCTCCGCACAGCACCGGGATATTTTTAATTTAGGAGAGAGAGAGAGCCTTATCACATCATTAAGACACATGTCTCCAAGCGCGTCACAGAATATAATAATAATCCTGGTGTTTGACCCGGCGCCTCATCGCCTCTTCGAGACGTCTCAAAGCTTCTGGACACGCTGTTAAGTGTAGTGACTGTGTTTTGTGGACAAATATTACCTCGCTCGTTCTTTTGCCTCCTCGTACATCTCCTGTATGATACGGTCCTTCTTGTCCATGAATGCGCTGTGAGCTTCTTCAAGCTTCCTACAAGCGAAGAACACTCTGTTTACAACAGGGATTTTTTTCATGGTGGTGGGGGGGGGGGGGGGAGGAAGAGGTTGTGGGTTCAAACCCCACGTTGGAACGTTGGTATCACATAGTCTAAGCTGACGCTACAGTGCCCCGTTACAAACACTCGACCTTGCTACAACCTGCGTCTCGTTACAAACCTGCGTCACGTTACAAACCTGCGTCACATTACAAACCTGCGTCACGTTACAAACCTGCGTCACGTTACAAACCTGCGTCTGATTACAAACAACCCCCTTGTTACAAACATTGTGACTGACTCATCACATCAACTAACCTTAAAGAGCTTTGAATTTCTAGGATGTGTCGAGGGAAACACCTGATATAATAATAACAATCCTCACATTTGATACAGCGCCTTATCATGTCTTCAGGACGTCTCAAAACGCTTCACAGGATACACTATAAAGTGTAGTGACTGGGAAATGCAGCAGCCAATTGCAGCACTGTCCCACAATCAGTGGATTGTGTTACCAAATTATTAATTATTATTATTATTTTTGGGGAAGGGATTATTATCCCCGGAAAGCGATCCGCCAATCAACTAACAACCGGGTTCCTACTTGCTGCTGGTAAACAGGGGCGCGTCTGTGTGTCTGTGTGTGTGTCTGTCTGTGTGTGTGTCTGTCTGTGTATCTGTGGGTCTGTGTGTGTGTGTGTGTCTGTGTGTGTATCTGTGTGTGTGTGTGTCTGTCTGTCTGTGTATCTGTGGGTCTATGTGTGTGTGTGTCTGTCTGTGTGTGTGTCTGTGTGTGTGTGTGTGTGTATCTGTGTGTGTGTCTGTCTGTGTATCTGTGGGTCTGTGTGTGTGTGTGTGTGTGTCTGTCTGTGTGTGTGTCTGTGTGTGTATCTGTGTGTGTCTGTCTGTGTATGTGTGGGTCTGTGTGTGTGTGTCTGTGTGTGTATCTGTGTGTGTGTGTGTGTCTGTCTGTGTATGTGTGGGTCTGTGTGTGTGTGGGTCTGTCTGTGTGTGTGTGTGTGTGTCTGTGTGTGTATCTGTGTGTGTGTGTGTGTCTGTCTGTGTATCTGTGGGTCTGTGTGTGTGTGTGTGTGTTGTGTGTGTCTGTGTGTGTATCTGTGTGTGTGTGTGTCTGTCTGTGTATCTGTGGGTCTGTGTGTGTCTGTGTGTGTATCTGTGTGTGTGTCTGTCTGTGTATCTGTGGGTCTGTGTGTGTGTGTCTGTGTGTGTCTGTGTGTGTATCTGTGTGTGTGTGTGTCTGTCTGTGTATCTGTGGGTCTGTGTGTGTGTGTGTGTGTTTGTCTGTGTATGTGTGTGTCTGTGTGTGTGTGTGTGTGTCTGTGTGTGTGTGTGTCTGTGTGTGTATCTGTGTGTGTGTCTGTCTGTGTATCTGTGGGTCTGTGTGTGTGTGTGTGTGTTTGTCTGTGTATGTGTGTGTCTGTGTGGCTGTGTTTGTGTGTGTATGTGAGTAAGGAAACTTGCCTAAGGTTTCCCCTCAGTGGGACCCGAGAGTGGTTCCTCGCTTGTGAGGTGAGTGCGCTAACAGCTCTGTTACAGGACTCCTGCTATCGAGGAACAGCGTGAAGCACTGAGACACAAAGTGTTAACGCACCACAGACTCGCACTGTCGGGGCTGAATGAGCAAAGACTGGCTTTACCTCACCAAGAACCATTGTGCCTCCGGGGTTATTAAAACCAGAGCTTGGGGGGGTGTTCGATACTGATTAACAGGAAGGCCGTTTGCAAACAGCTGGTAAAAATATTGTCGAAGGCTTTCATTTGGATTTGTATTTTTATGTCTAATTTCACGCCATGACTCCATTCAATTAGCGTAAGGTTTATTGTTTTACAGTTCATCGCAGGAGACTCCCGTAGTTCGGTGTTTGGAGCCCTCGCCTTGCCAGCAAAAGGACCCGGGTTCGATTCCCAGGCGGGTCAGGGCGAAACCTTAGGCAACTTTCCTTACGCCACACACACACACACACACACACACATACGCAGGAACCCACTTGTTAGTCGACTGGCAAATCGCTTTATGAGGGTAATAATCCCTCCAAATATTTTTAACAATAATAATAATTTGGTCACTCAATCCACGACTGTTTGGGGGATGCTGCTGTGCGTAATTGGCTGCCGCTACAAAATGCAGTCAATTTACAGTATATCCTGTGAAGCGCTTTGAAACGTCTCAAAGATGTGATAATAATAATCCTCGCATTTGATACAGCGCCTTATCACATCTTCTAGACACCTCAAAGTGCTTCACAGAATATACTGTCAAGTGGAGTGACTATGTGTTTTGTGTAGCGACGGCGCTATACCAAAATGCAAGGATTATTATAAATAATTATTATTATTACAAACGCTCTCTGCTTGTTCGCGTGTGGTTCGGGCTGGCTTGCACGACAGCTGGAGTGGGCGATGGATTTGTTCTATGTGAATGGTTCTGATGCTAATTTGCTCTCCTCCTGTTACAGGAGAGTTGGACACACTCCCTGGTCTCTCACTCTGAATGGCCATTGTATGAGTGAGTCTAGACAGCGAGTGCTGGTGGGGGTGGGGGAAAGCCAATGGGTAACACAGAGCCGGATCCTGTCCTCTCTCAACTTTTCACACACCCCCTCCACACACACACACACACACCTATCCACCTTCCAACAGAGAGTTGGGGTTTGATATAAGTTGGTGATGCATTGTCGGAGATGCTGTCCTTCAGATGAGATGTTAAACCTCACTTTATTGTTTGCCTGTTGAGGTGGACGTTAAAGATAATAATAATCCTTGGATTTGACACAGTGCCTTATCACGTCGTTGAGGTGTCTCAAAGTGCTTCACAGGATATACTCTGAAGCGAAATGACTGGCTATTTAGTGGGCGAAACATGGCAGTCAATTGTGCACAGCAGTGTCCCACAAATTAGTACCAAATTAGTATTATATTTTTAGAAGCGAGGGATTATTTCTCCCAGAAAACGATCCACCAATCGACTAATAACCGGGTTGCTACTGACTGCGAGGCAAACCGAGGTGTGTGTGTGTGGAGTAAGGAAACTTGTCTAAGGCTTTGCCCGGCCTGGGACTCGAACCCAGGTGTCTCGCTTGCGAGGCGAGTGCTCTAACCACTGAGCTACAGGATTCCGCACCCAAATAATAACAACAATCCTTGCATTTGATGTTGCGCCTTATCACGTTGTTGAGACGTCTCAAAGAACTTCACAGAATATACTGTAAAGTGAATTGACTGTGTGTTGTGTGGGCGGCTGAGGCTGCCAATTTGCGCAAACCGACATCTTCTAAAGAGCGTAAAGGGTTAAGAGATGATTGGGATTTTAAGTCTTAATGTGGAAAAAGGATATGGCCGAGACCTGGTTGAGAGAGAGAGCACTGGGGACTTAGAGTGTATACACACTGAACAATTATAATGTAAGCTAACATTTTAGTTTTCAATATTTGTAAGAACTCAGACATATGTAAACGCCGATTGCAGACAGTTCATTTGGGATTTACAAGACTTTTTTTTAACCCAGAGGTTGTGAGAATGTTGGACATCCCACAGGACTGTGTGGGCACCATCGATTGGGAGGTCAAATGACATCTGAGAAACATAGGGGTTTAACAATTATAATTTATTTTTTGTGACCGGCCGGGTGTCTGACACACACAGAAACCCGTCACCATGACCGGCCGGGTGTCTGACACACACACACAGAAACCCGTCACCATGACCGGTCGGGTGTCTGACACACACAGAAACCCATCACCGTGACCGGCCGGGTGTCTGACACACACACACAGAAACCCGTCACCGTGACCGGCCGGGTGTCTGACACACACGGAAACCCATC